ATGCTGGGGCAGGCCCATTCGTTTTTTAGGAGTTGCAGAATGGTGATATTCTATCATTCATTCTTCATTTATTAGCTGACACTTCTGTATAAAAAATTTCCCATCATCAACTCTTTGGGTATTCAGAAGAATGGATCCTTTAGGAAAGAACGTATCTTTATGTGATACTTTCTTTAATTATTATTATGAAAGATATTTTGTGTTTCAGTCTATTGTACTTAGTATCCTTATTGGTGCAAACTGTCTCTGTAGCACTGGGGCCTTTTCAGCTGACATCTGACATGACCCGTGGTCTTTGATAGTTTCTGTCCTTATGGGATGAAATGGTCCAGGCTTACCTTATACACATCCCTTCTCTGACCTGTTACCAGCCATTTCTTCAAGGAGCCCAGGTTCCTTTTAATAGGAAATGGTGTTTCACAGGGGAGGGTGTAGCTCAGCGGTAGAGCGCACGCTCAGTATACACGACGTCCTGGGTTCAATCCCCAGTACCTCCATTAAATAAAAAAATAAACCTAATCACACCCCCGCAAACCGCCCCCCCAAAAAAGGAAATGGTGTTTAGAAGCCACTGAAATGCACATCCGTTTGGAATTATACATTTCATTTGTTTAAGATTAAATGTATCATGAACTTATACTGATACATTCAATTTAGAACAATGAGGTTTTCACTTAGTCCTGTTGGTTTTGTAACATTTTCCTTTTTTCCATGCTAAAATTGCTTTATTACACAGCACACATACAATAGCCTCGGAATATAATACCACTGTTACCACCACCAATATATTTATTGAAAACAGTTTAGGTTTTTCTTCTTTTCCTTTTCTAGCCCCTGCCTTTCGAATGCAATAGCCCATTAGAGAGATACAATAAAATACAGTGTTTTAAAGTTTCCTGATCTCATTGCCGTTTATGTGGTCATGCCACCAAGAGGTCGTGGAGTGAAGTTTGTTTGTTTCCATTTGGTTTTGCTTTTTAAAAGTTTAGGCATTTAAAAATTGCTACACGCATTTGTCTTTTCATATTTTTGCCAGTTTATCTCTGGAATGAGTTCTTAGAACTGGGATTGCTGTTTCAAAGGGCAAATACATATGTAATTTTGCTAGATACTGCCAAATTCCCCTCAGCAGGGGTTGTACCATTTTACATTTTACTGGCAAAAAGAACCTGAGTCCCCATCTTAAAGGTTCATCCTTTACATTCGTAAAGCATGTGAAGTGTTTTCTTACAACATATTTTATTTTGTCCCGGCAACAGCACTGGAAGTTAGGTACCATTCTCACTCTGACTTTATAGATGAGGAAACTAAGGCCCCAGAGAGCCAGAGAGTCCTGCACATGACAGAGAATGAGCTGATTGGAGCCCCAGTTCCACGCTTGGCCATAGAGCATCCTTGGGCGAGACGCGGTGTCCTGCCTCTGGTGCCCAAGTGGCTCTCTGCTTGCCAGCCTCGGAGTTTTCTTTGTGGCTGTGGAAATTTGCCAAGTGTGGCCCAGTGCAGATTGGAAGTGTGGGATAGTTATTATGCTCTGGGGTGTCCCCCAGCCCATGGGAACGGGAGCCCCCGACGTCCTTCAGAGGCACAGGATGCCTCTGCTGAGATGGAGCCCACGGGCACAACACTGACCTGCCCAGTAGCTCACCTGTCAGTGGCTTTCCCTTCCTTCCTGCCTCCCTCCCTCCTTCTTCCTGGGATTGCCTTCCAAGTAACCACACCGACCCAAGTCCCCGGTTTGGGCTTTGTTTCAGGGAAACCCAAACCAGACAAACAGAAACAGCATCTGCCTGGCCCGGAGCCGGGCTGAGTCATGCTCCAGGCACCTCAAGGTCCCAGATCGGTGGACTGTAGCTCCAGCTCCCTGGGGCTGCAGCGCCTCCATGGGGCCACCCCATGGCCGATCCCTGGCCTTTTCCTCTATCCATGGTCACACTGCACTCTTGGAACAGATGCGATGGGAAATTCGGTTCTATTGAGGCCTTCCCTGTTGGCACCTCATCCTTGGTCTCCCCAGACCATTGCTTTGTGAGCTGAACGATTTTGTCTGAAATTGGACCATCACTGGTAGGGAGAGTGGAGGGCTAAGTTGTGGCCCTGGACTGGCCTCAGCATTCTTTGGTTTAGAAGACACTTGCTCAGGACGCCGTTGTCTTTCCTTGATGTCTGGAAGGGTACCACTGGACACAGGGTCTTCTACGTCCAAAACCTGGGAAGGGGAAGAAGATGCCAGTACCTGCTGGCGATGCAGTGCAGTTGCCCAGGTGGCCCTGATGGCCCTGATGGCCTCGATGCCTCGGCCAAGGCCGTGTGACCCACGGACCAGCTTGACGGAGGCTGCTTAA